AGGAAAAAGAATGAATAACTTTTGAAGCTTAGTTTCATTTGCTTACTCGTTTATTCATATTTGTTAAATGCCACTATGTGCTAAGCACCACACCAAGGAACTCTGTCCTGCTGGAGCATTGCAGCATCTTCTCTGGTGGTTTTCCTGCCTCCTCTTTTGCCTTTTGTGCCTTACCCGTCCCAGTCCATTATCCAAGTGTCCAGGGTGATGCTTAAAAAAAAAATCTATGTATCTATATTTCAGTTCTTGATACTCTGCCAATCGAAACTTTCTAACATATTTCAGCTGATTCAGAAGAAAATCTGAATCCTCTGGCCCCTTCCACTCTGTATTCAACTCCATCTTCTCCACTCCCCATTTCACTTACTCCAGCTAACACTGGCCTCCTTCCCATGTTCTCTGGCTGTGAGAAGCATGTGTCTATTTAAAGCTTTCTCAGGCTGCTCATTCTCTCAGTTGAGAAGGTTCTTCCTTAGACAGCTACCTCTTCCTTCACTCAGATTGTCCAATTGAGTGTCACTTCATTAAAGGTACCTTCCCTGGCCACCTGAACCAAAATAACATCTCCCTTCTACCATCCTCTTTACACTTTGGTCTTTTTTCTCCCACATTCAATTACTGTCTGATATAACATAAATATTTTATGTATCAATATTATAGTTGGCTTATCACCTTTCCTTTAATGTCAGCTCTTGGAAACTGCATTTTATCTAACACATTATTCCAGTGGCTGGAACTGTATCTGGCACATAGTAGGTACTCTACTTGCTGAATAAATGAATTAATGAATGAATGTAAGTCCTTTACTTCTTGTGGCATGTTTGAGACAGAGTCTTGCTCTGTCACCCCAAATAGAGAGCAGCAGTAGTGTCATCATAACTCGCTGCAACCTGAAACTCTTGGGCTCAAGTGAACCTCCTGCCTCTACCTCCTGGGTAGCTGGGACTACAGGCACCTGTCATGACACCCTTTAGTAGAGATGGGATCTTACTTTTGCTCAGGTTGTTTTCAAACTCCTGACCTCATGCAATCCTCCTGCCTTGGCCTCCTGGTAGAATTATAGATGTGAGCCCCTGTGCCTGGCCATGTGGCATTTATTTATTTTTTAATAAAAATATAAACTTATCATTCAGAAATATAATTCAACAGTTTTAACAATTTTTTTTTTTGAGACAGAGTCTCACTGTGTTGCCCTTAGTAGAGTGCAGTGGCATCACAGCTCACGGTAATCTCAAACTCTTGGGCTTAAGTGATTCTCTTCCCTCAGCCTCCCAAGTAGCTGGGACTACAGGCACTCTCCACAATGCCTGGTTATTTTCTATTTTTTGGTTGTAGTTGTTATTGTTGTTTGGCAGGCCTGGGCTGGATTCGAACCCACCAGCTCCAGGTGTGTGTGGCTGGCACCATAGCTGCTGAGCTACAGGTGCCGAGACCAGTTTTAACAATTTTAATGAAACAGAAATATATATTTACCATATATCTTATTCCTATCCCAAAGTATAAGACACTTCTGATGGTGTATTGATTCAAGTTCTGAGAAAACATTTCCCAATGGGGTGGTGACAGTTCGGATCAATAGCAGCAGAAATCAAGTTATAGATTTAAAAACATTTAGGAACCTCAGCAAATGGACCTTCTTGATGGCATAAATGCCAATAGGAACAAGTTAATGAAAACTGTAGTAAAATCTGAAAGGCTAAAGTCTAATGGGAACAGTGAGTGACTTGGCTCTTATCAGAGGAATTCTTTCAAAATGATCCATCCAACCGGCCAGGAAGCATTCTGGGCAGTGAAAGGACTGAATATGGATGGCAGTTAGGAGCCCTCTGGGGAGTAAAGGCACAGCTCCAACCACTTCTTACTCAATGTGATTGAGAAACACAACATCTAGCACCACAATTACTTGACACCAACTGCTTTCTGGTCCTGCAGCTTGAAATTTCCTAATACTGCCAGTGACATGTAAGCAGGTGATGGTGAAACAGCCAGTGTTCAGTGTATGCTCACCTTGTGTAGATGTTTGGAGGCTGAGTCAAAGCTTCTACAGGATCCCACATTTAAAGTGCCAAAGGAAAAAAAAAAAGGAAAAGAAAAGAGGGAGAGAGAAAAAAATAAATGTGCCAATGAAGAGTAAGCCTTGTAATTTACTAAAATTGTTCTACTTGGAGTGTACAAATAAATTTGATGGTTTAATTGAGATACCACTGGGAGTTAAACTTTTTTGGGGGGTGGTAATCTGATTAAACATATGCTTCATATGTAATTCATCCCAATTAATAAAAAAATAATAATAGCTAAACCTTAATCAGAAGGCTAAAAAAGAATTCAAGTGTGTAATATGAATGAAACTAATTCCTGGTAAGGGTCTTTTTTTTTTTTTTTTTTTTTTTGAGACAGAGTCTTACTCTGTTGCCCTGGGTAGAGTGCCATGGCATCATCAGAGCTCACAGCAACCTCAAACTCTTGGGCTCAGGTGATCCTCTTGCTGGGACTATAGTTGCCCACCACAACAGCCAGATAGTTGTTCTCTTTTTAGTAGAGACAGGGTCTTGCTCTTGCTCATGTTGCTCTCGAGCTCCTGAGCTCAGACGATCCGCCTGGCTCAGACTCCCAGAGTGCTAAGATTACAGGCATGAGCCATTGTGCCTAGCCTGTCTTAATCTCTTTTGCATTCCTATAAAGGAATACCTGAGACTGGGTAATTTATAAAGAAGCAAAATAGAGGATGTAACATCCTTGTATGTAAAAAAACTATTTGACATTTATATTTATATGTAAAATAGAACTGGACTCAGATAACTGCAACAGGATTTTCATTTACCTGAATGTCCACTGGGACACTAAAAAGTCATGAAGAACATGGGGTAATTGGTAGTTGTATGGCCTAAGGCATGAAAGGACATAGGTTAGCTGTCCTTGTCTCCGCCCACAAAATGAGCACTGGGGGCCCTCCCTTATTTTTGAAAACTTGAAAACATCCCTGCAAATGTCCAAAGTATTCCCAGAAAGTGGAACTCTTTTATTTAATAACCATTATTGCAGATGTAGAATACAAATTTAATTAATTTGAGAAGTGCTATGAAGAAAATAAAACAGTATGTGTGTGAGAGACCTCTGTACACAGGCAGTCCGGGGAAGAGTTTTGTAGGTTGGTAGGGTTAGAACTAAGACCTGAATAGTGAGATGGAGAAGGCTGTGCTAGGGGGGGCAAGAACATTCCTTGAAGGAAAACTGAAAAAGCTGGAGTGGGAACAAACTTAGCATGTTTAAGGAATAAAAGGAAAGCCACTATGGCTGGAGCATAGATCAGACAGGTAGAAATCATTGGCTTTTTAGGGCACAGAAGGGTGAGAAATTGCTTACTTTTATGTGTGTGTGTGAGATGCAAGAAGAGTAATAAATGATCAGCAACCCAATTTGAACTACATTCACAGACTCTTTTTGGCCTCTGGTATGTAGATGCTTTAGAGATGTGTCTTTCTAGTAACTAATCTGTCACTGATAATGGACTCATGGGAAAATGCTCAAGAAGGTGGCATGATTTTTTTTTTAAAGATAGTTCTTTTTATTACTGCTATGTGCTGGGCACTGTATTTAGTACTTTAAACACATCATATCAAGTCCTGACAACTGTGCAAGACAATCATCAATATTCCCATTTTACCAGGGAGTAAAGGAGAATTAAATCATTAGCCTGAAGTCAGTCAGCTAGTAAGAAATACCAGCCATTATTGACATCCAGACGCATGGAACTTCAAACTCTCTGATCATTACAGAACTGGAAAACTGCATAATTTAATGGTGGGCACAATGTTTTGTATCATATGAAAGTTCCACTACCATCGTTGGTGGTAGCAGATCCCCGATGGACAAGGCTCTAAAATTCCTTTTTCTCCTTCTGTCTCCTGTGTCAAGGATACAAGTATCCCTGGGTATCCTTTGCCAAGGATAAGCAGATTCCTTCCACCGAGTTCAGGGGTGTAAAAAAAAAAAAGTTCTGGTAAAAGTTCACTAAATATTGTTATTGCTTTTTCTGATTACAAAAGCAATGCATAGGTCCGGGATCTTCTTGGGCTTTCTAAATGTGGCTAAATAAAAATCTACAGCAGCAAGTGAGGAAGCAGAGTGGCAGGTGCTATATCAGGATGGAAAAAATTTGGGAATCAGATCTTTTATGCAGCTCTTTCTTATGATGTCTTATCCTAGGAACTCACTGAGGTGACCAGATCGGAACTTTGAACTTCAGACTTTAAGTATACAGAATCGTAGGCAGACAGTGACCTCATTTGTCCCTTTGAGTAATTGCAAATCGAAGCAGCAATTCCCAGGAGAATTCTCAGCAGCCAAAAAGGACTCACAATTCTTCAGCAGAGATCTGAAGGGTTCAGTCTGATACAAAACAGAACTCAGATTGGAGGAGAAAATACTATCAAGAGAACAAAACACGTTTAATCCGGGCTCTTTTCCAGCTCTTTAGTGCTTTTACACACTATCTACACTCGTCATGACCGTGTGCTTTTTATCTAGTTTTTAAATGTCCCTCCACTTGTACAAGCTGTCAACTCGCTTCATTTCAGTACCCACTCCTAATGTCAGCAGCCCCTCTAGGTTCACGGAGCACTTGGTAGGAAGGACAAGGATTCACCCATGCAGTCGCAAGCTGGGTTTCAGTCACTGGATTACACACTTTGAGCGATCTCTGTGGGAGAAAGCCCGTGTGCGCCGGGTGGGCTGCGGGGGAAGTCCGGGAAGCGCGCCAGGCGGCTCCAGACACACTCGTGCGCCATCAGTCACACCCGGCCCTGGCGCGTGCGCGCGGTGTGGCTACAGAGGGCCGCCGACTTCGCCCCTGAAGGCTATTGCCCCTTGCCCTACCTGGCTGCCAGCGGTCTCCTAGGAGACTGCAGCCCCTCCCCCGTGTAGTTCCGGTCACGTGTCACAGTGGCATCCAATCAGCGCCCGGAACCCGGAGGCTCGCGATTCAAACTGTCCAGCCGCCGGCTCGCGGGGATCGGCGCTGGCTCGGGTGCGGCGCTGCTGCCGGCGGGCTATGGAGCACCGCATCGTCGGGCCGGGGCCGTACCGGGCCACTAGGCTGGTGAGTGGGCGTGTGGGGGCTGGGCGGGGCCATCGGCGCCGCGATCCCAGGCGGGCCCGCGGATAGGGTACTTGTGGGTCTCGCTTCTGCGGGGCAGCCTGGTCTAGGTGCGGAGGCGGACGTCTGTCACCCTGAGTCGCCTTTTAAGGGACCAGGCTCGAAGAAGGGCTAACTGGGCCTGGAACCCAGTCAGTCGGGTGGGTGCAACTTCGTCACCGAGATGTTGGCTGCATTCTTGGCAATAAAAGGGCGCCTCTCCATTTAAATCCCTCGAAAGCCACCAGGACCCTACGCCCTTTGTCTTCCGGAATCTTATTTTTGTTATAGTAATAATAAATTCTTTTTTTAAGAGATGGTGTCTCGCTATGTTGCCCGGGCTGGCTTCGAACTCCTGAGCTCAAGCGATCTTTCTGCCTCAGCCTTTAGAGTAGATGGGCTACAGGTGTGTGTGGCGCCGGGCTTGCTTTTCTTTCATTTATTTTTATTTATTTATTCATTATTTTTTGGTCCTTAGGAATCTAACGCCTGAATGTGGGAAAGGAAAAGCCGGTCAGTAACCTGAGGGCTACCGCCGCCTGTAACGCTCCGCGTTTGCGGCCACCCAGGCTGGGCGTGTCTCCTTCCTGAGTACTCTTGGTAACACTCGACAAGGTGTTCTGCTAACCGTGCTCAGCCCTGAAGTGGACCGCCTTGGCCACGTTTCCTACCCCTGGCGTTTCTATTTCTGTCAGCACCTACCTAAAAAAAATTTTTTTTTTTTTTCTTTTTTGAGATAGAGTCTCACTCAGTTGCCCAGGCTAGGGTACTATAGTGTTAGCTTAGCTTGCAGCAACCTCAAACTCCGGGGCTCTAATAACGATCCTTCTGCCTCAGCCTCCAGACTATCTAGGGCTACTCCTGCTAATTTTTCTATTTTTATAGAGATGGAGGTCTCCCTCTTGCCGCAAGTGATCTTCCTAGCTTGGCCTCTCAGAGTGCTAGGATTACAGACGTGAGCCACCCTGCACCTGGCCTGGTCTGATGGTCCTGGGTGCTATCTTTTCTGGGAAAAAACCTTGGGTACTCAGAGGTGTACTTCGTCTGCTTTATGATCTGGACAAGTCATTTTAGTGATTTCTGCCTCAAAGGATTACTATAATGGTATAAAGAGTGACAATTTGGTATTTTTTTTTTTTGAGACAGAGCCTCAAGCTATCCCCCTGGGCAGAGTGCCGTGGCATCACAGCTCACAGCAACCTCCAACTCCTGGGCTCAAGCGAGTCTCCTGCCTCAGCCTCCCAAGTAGCTGGGACTACAG